AAGTAATATGTTTCTACTATTTAAAATTAAATTCAGTATGTTTTAAATTTTGTTTAATGTTTATTTAAAAGTAAACTTAAAATAAAAAGAATTCAGATTCATATTCAGAGCCTATTAAAACTTGAAAATAAAAACACTAATTGAATTAATAAAAGCAATCCATAAAACGTTTTGAGACATTGTCTTGTAAACTGTATTAATTGATTTAATTAATAAATACAACGGAATTGAGCCTTTGCCACAAACTCAAATTTTTAATCCTAATATCTTTACAACCTTATTGTGTAAACCTTGATGTTCATAACTCTGTTCTAACAAAAGTCATATAGTTTGAAATATCTGAGGTCTATCATTTTGGGTTGTAAATATGTATGGATGAGAAAATCAGTGTTTATGGCAAAACTCAATTCCTTCCCATGGACCGAATTTAATTAATTTGAACTACTGGTTCACATTGAATCGCCGATTCAAATATTTTCTTAATCTGTTTTTTTTACTCGGAGGTTCAAATGTGATTCAACAGTTAATAGTTCAACGACGTGGCTCAAATTCTTTAAATCCGGTTTAAACAATCTCAGATTAAAAACAACAGGTATCACTCCCATATGCTTAGCCCATTAGCGCCTCATCCAATCAGGGTTCAGTCATGTGTTTGTTGTCTATTCTGAACCAATATAGGAATAGTATGGGGTAACACCTATATCTTTCTATATCTCTCTCATTATTCAATTAGAGATAAATCCTTCTATCGGCGCTATCAGTAAATGGAAATATTTACTTCTGATGAAACTGTAGTGATAAACTTGACGTCATCTTCTTCATTCTAATTCAAGGAAGCTGATTCCATACAATTTTAATAAACACACTTCTAGGTATAAATCTTGTTTTCATGTTTTAGTCAAGTAAACATCTTAAGTTGTAAACCAAATCTATTTTGAATTTTTTTCAACTCTAAACAAAATGGAGGGTACGACTTTTTGTAGTGACTGCTCAACAAACTAAAACTACTTAACAATTTTGTACATCAGAATTCAAAATGGCGGCTTGAAAAACATCATTTAGATTCTAAATTTGTTACAAGTATTTATGGTTTTGAAAACCCTGAGAAAGAAACATCATCGTAAACTCCGGTTCTTTTGTTTGTTTTTAATCTTTGTGAAGAAACAATCTCAAGAACTGACGAGGGTCAACCCAGACCGATCAATATATTTTCAATAAATGTGGAACTAACATCTACTCTTTTACTCTACAGAGGTTTGGTCCATCACCATCACCGAATTTTAAATCTTTTGAAGTACCAGACCGAACTTTAGGCAGCTCACTGTAATTAAAATGTTTTTTAAAAATTGATTTTTACCTTTAAAGCCTAAAGATAAAACCAAGTGCGCGCGTATAGTTTAGAATGTACATGTTTAGGGCTACAAAAAAGCGCGCTTTGGACACTTTAAAGTCAACTCTGTCTTGAAAATTGATGCAAAATTTCAGAGCCAGCTGGTTTTATGTAAACTAGAGCAAGTTGTACAATATACAAAATGTATACATAAATGCATCTTTTTAACCTTTTTTTAAAGTGCTTTTTGCAATTTTGAACATTGAAATGTCAGTTCAGATCTTTTCCATGAAAGGGCCAGATTGGAAATTTCATATTTAACAGAATTTGATTATAAATGGAAAAAAATTCACATCAAAAATACTTTTTATCATAAACTCACTTAATCAGCTACTACATCAACCCCCCACCCCACCCCAAATTCCCCCTGCTCTCTCAATTAGTAAAAGCTAAAAACGATACTAGAAAAAAAATAGATGGCCCCCTAAAAATAAGATTTAAACATTATTCTAAGCCCCCTTCCCTCCCCAATTCTTTTCCCAATGCATTGTAAAAGACTTTTAACTTATATAATTTATTTCCATTAAATTTTTTAATATTTCTATGATATCAGATGAAAATATTTTAATATTTCTATGTTTCTTCTTCACTTTCTTCTTGTTCATCTTTCATGCATCTTTCAATCATATATCGGCTAATTTAAAAAATATCTTGTCAATTAGCCACTACAGTCATTGTAAAAGATTAATTGTTATTAAATCTTAATTTTAAATGTTTGAATATAAATCAAAATTTTAAATTTATTTATGACTCTTCTACATATTTGGCAAATTAATCTTGTATAAAATCTTTAACCTTTTTTTTTTGGGGGGGGGGGAGCCACCCCTCTCTTTTAATTTCTTCTCCATAACTTAAAAATGGTTTACAAAAGAGCGCTCAAACTTTTTAGGACGTAGTATAGGGTAAACGACGGATAGATGGCCATGTTGGCTGTCTCAAGAAAAGTCTACATTTTTTGTATGACGGTCCCCCCCCCTCCCCTCGCTTTTTTAAAACCTTTTCTTCAGACAATTGCTTAGGGTTAAAAATAATAGAACAAATTGTAAACCTTTAAAACAATATAATAAAGCTGATGAAGGACCTTACAGTAAACTAAGCACATATGTTCCAATCAAACTGTTGATTAAGATGAGTTTAGATATTTCGTAACTTTTATCTTTTCATGACATATGTATCAGCATCTACAGCATCTGTATCTGTATCTACTATCTATATTTGTATCTATATCTGTATTTGTATCTATATCTGTATCCGCGATTGTGTATCTGTTTGCAAATTTATCCACAGGACAAAATTAAGTAAAAACCCATAATATTATTGATTATGTTCATCTTAGTTTTAAGAAAGTTGGTTTGGAATACATTTTTTAAAAGTTTTTCCGATTTTATTAAACCTTACATTAATAGTGTTCACCAGGGAATAGGAATAAAGGGAAGGGAAATGGCGCTGGTCTACCTACAGTACACACCTTTGGTACTTTAAACTAACACACACTCTTTTGGTACAGACACAAACACATGACGTTTCCGCCCCCTGGTGTTCACTGTCTTTTAAAAGTTGATGTCCTTTCTTGTTTACAATGAGAACAAACGTGAAATCACTGGTTTCCATGTTACTACCCTGTATTACATTAACTGGCAGAAATTTTGTTTACATATGCTTCCAGTTTGAACCAAAACATTGCAGTACGGACAGTACGGTCTGATTGTATTTAACAAGAAATATATAATACATAATAGTTTGATTTCGAACAAGCGTGCAGTCAGTATATGTACAGTGTGTAGATTATAAACCATAAAGATATTATCAATTCTGTCAAATCATTGTTAAGTACAAATCTTAACGGGCCCAAGGTTATAATACAAGGAAAGTTATTTTAGCGATGTGCTCATCTTTTGTATTGCAGTTTACTGTCTCTGGGCGGTAATGTAAACACAAGACGGATGTCGAAGCCTGATGTGCACTATAGCTTCAGTAGAAGTAAATATTTCCATTTACTGATAACACCGAAATAAGGTTTCATATTGGATAATGAGATAGCTAGAATGATAAATGTTACCGCCATACTATTTCTATTGGTTCAGAATAGACAACAAACACATGACTGAACTCTGATTGGATCAGGCGCTAATGGACTCGGCAAACTGGAGTGGTGGGATCCATATTTCAAAAAAATCAATGAAATATTCTGGCCATAGGAAATTAATATGTGAATTATCAAAGTTATAAAAATGTAATGCTTTTAACCTCCTCAGATACAAAACGAACACTGATGCATCTATTCTTGTTTACGAATTCCGCCCAGGGAGAACTGGTTTCAATATGTACGCAGAGTATAAGCAACTGCAATTAACTTTCCTTGCATTATAACCGTGGTTCCTTGGTATATATTTTCATACTTACAGTAAACAATAGTTGGATTTCGAACAAGTGTCCGAGACAGTATATACAGTGTGTACACCATGTCCACAGATTTTTGACAACTTGAGATTTTCTTCTCTTTTTAATATTGTTGAGAAAGAGAAAATATTAAGAAAACAAAAAATTATCCTAATGTTAAACATCGCACTTGTGTGTAGTAGATTATATAAATCATACAGATATTTTCAATTCTGTCAAATCATTGTGTAAACCATAGATCTTAACGGGCCTATAACAACTCATTTTAAGGGAAATGCGTTAAATGCCTGATTCACAACAGTACCCTTTAGAACTGTATCGGATTAAGATAAGGAATATATCGTCATTTATCTCTCTTAAATTCTTTAGATATCTTTAACATCGCCCCAATTGAGAACAATTCCTGGAAAATCGGGGGAACGCCCCTGGAAAACCGGGGGAACGCCCCTGGAAAATGTTGTACGCCGCCCCTGCCGGCGTGAATGGAATACGCCCCTTTGTAAATGGAGGGTCACTTGAAATTACGTTGACTGGTCCCTTTTAATGGTTAAAAGGACCCCTACTGAGCTAGAAGAGTTGTGAAACAGTTATGAACAATGTCTCGATCAAGTGTAACTATTTAGAGGAAGTATAGGGGGGGGTG